AAAATGTATGCAGCACGTGTTTACAGCTGTATTGTACATATTAGTATCATTATATCTGTTTATAGGGCGGTGGGGTAGCCGAGTGGTCAAAGCGTTCGCTCGTCACGCCGAACACCCGGGTTCGATTCCCCACATTGGTACAATGTGTGAAGCCCATGTATGGTGTCCCCCGCCGTGATATTGCTTGAATATTGCCAAAAGCGGCGTAAAACCATACTCAAGCACTATATCTTTCTACTCTTGTTTTGTAAATGGACCGGTGGGATTTAGTACAATATAATATTTGGATCCTTAATCATGGCGAAGTGGAGGCCTGACGATGTCTGCGGGACGTGCTCGGCTATCTGTACCCCTACCCACGACGGGACGTCATCTACACATACATCACTTGCTGCTCAAATATATACTAGCCACATAAAGAAACTGCATTGTCAAAATATTATCCCAGTTGATGAGTACGATAACAATGTCAAAGGTACAGATAAACGTTAATGGAGGGATCATGAGACCATAACAAGTCTGGATAATTGCAATTGAAAAGTCAATCACAATGACGTCACGAGTCCACAAGCGGGACAGGGGTCAAACGACCATGTCACAAGCTCAAAAACGGGTATGTCGACCATCGGTAGTTAGAAAAGCAGTGCATCGACGACGCATAGAGCCTGTCAAAACGTGCAAGGAAGGCTTGTGGGATGTCACGCCAGATTCTCTCAAGTTCTATTGCAAGGTCAAGGACGTTATCTGGCGGATGAGTAAGACGTCGATCCATCTCGTCCCAAACATGCCCTATCGGGGAGAGATCCGGTGAATTTGCCACAGGTCGAAGAATCTGATCCCTGTAGCCCACACCAGTTAAGTTGCCCTGAACAATCACCAAAGGAGTTCTTTGGCGTGCTGTTATTTCACCCCAAATCATCACGGAACCACCACCAAAGCGATTCCTCTCCAAGACACAGGTCTATGCATAACGTTCTCCCACGCGTCTATAGGCACGTTGACGTCCATCACTATGGGAAATGTTAAACCTGGACTCATCTGTAAAAACAACATTTCTACAACAAAACAAGGGTCTGCGGACATGATTTCGGCACCACATTCGGCGAGCTTGTCGATGACGTTGTGTCAGGATAGGCCGTATGGCGGGACGTCGTGGTCTGATCCCGTGATGACGTAAACGTTGTCGAACTGTGTTGGGGTGGATACGGCGAAGTCCTTGGATGGTTCGGGCAGTCATCACTGCAGTCTGAAACCTGTGGCGAAGATGGGTCACCCTTATCCATATGTCCTGTCTTGGCGTTGTTACACGTGGACGTCCAGAACGTGGCCGATCGATGACGTCATTTGTGTTCTGGTAGCGTCTCACCAGTGCAGAAATGGTGTTCCGGTGGCAGTGGAAATGTGCAGCCACTTGTCGTTGAGACATTCCCCCACGGACCATCCCAATGGCCTCATGACGTTGTGCAGACGTGAGCCTTGGCATGCTATGCGTTTCAATAGCCGTTTAATTTTTTGAACGATCGCAGGGGCAGGGGTTGAGCTTTCCAAAGTGACAGTATTGTATGGCATTCATTTGCTCTGTTTCTCTTTCCCGGAATGCACGTGCAAAAATGTATTGCACGTCTTACGGACGAACCCACTGACGTCACGGAACGTGGCACGTGCATGCATGTTGGATACATGTCACTAATCTCTGAGCTCAAATCCTTATGTGTCTACCCAGGTTTGATAAATTTAGATGTTAAATTTTCATATGCACAGTTTCTTTATGTGCCTAGTATATATATATATACATTCGTTACCACTCGTCTCTTTCCGTAACCTTCATAAATGACCCATGTCTTCCCGAAGTTCTGTAAGAAAATCAGACCAATCAGAATGCACCCATGACTGCAAATACCTCAGTCAAAACATTTGTCAGGATTATTCATCATATACTTTGCATGCGTCTTGCATCTACAATTTTACACATCACACAGTTAATTGTGATAAGTACATCAAGTCAGATTATGAATAACATTTACAATATATTATGACATATCGCAGAATGAGTGAGTGTGAGTGAGTTCAGTTTTACGCCGCTCTCAGCAATATTCCAGCTATATGGCGGCGGTCTGTAAATAATCGAGTCTGGACCAGACAATCCAGTGATCAACATCATGAGCATCGATCTGCGCAATTGGGATACGATGACATGTGTCAACCACGTCAGTGAGCCTGACATATGTCATCTGAATTCAGGTACTGTTTCATTCTGCAGAAAAAAACGTATCACATGCCTTTGGACGTGAAGTGAGTGAGTGAGTTTAGATTTACGCTGCACTCAGCAATATTCCAGCTATGTGGCGGCGTCTGTAAATGATCGAATCCTGACCAGGCAATCCAGTGGTCAACTTCATGAGCATCGATCTACTCAATTGGATACGATGGCATGTGTCAACCAAGCCAGCGAGCCTGACCACCCGATCCCATTAGTCGCCTCTTACGACAATCATGGATTACTGAAAATCAATTCTAACCCGTACCTTCACGGGTTATATATCGAAGAGGCACCCGTGAAGAGCCACCTCCTCGTGGTGGGTACTGGGTAACGCTGAGATCTCTTCAACCCCCCGTGTGGACCCGGGGGCATATTGAGTCCACAGCACCCCATTGTTGGTCGTATGACCGAATTGGGCAACCGTTTGCCGTGGGTTGCGCCCCTGTGTCGGTGGAGCAAGGGAGTCTGGTGGTTGAGTGCACTGGAACCAGGACCAGGCATTCCTGTTGCACCACTTCGCCCCTTACGGGTGGTTGAATGGGCCCGGAGATAGTTAGGGGGTTAAAGTATGGTAAAATTATTGTCCTCCTGCGAGGATACGTAAGTCCCAAAACCTTCAAAGTACATTTCAACTTAACAACATTTATAAACGTAGCATTTGTGTGATTTTAATTTATGGCTTTCCTATAATCGCCAGCGGCTGAAGGGATGGTATACATCCAGACAGGGTATATGCAGGTAGCAAAGGTACTGTAAGTCCCCATGGTCTCTAGTATGGTGATTTGCCTTCAGTTGTTGGCGATCTATAGCTCGTTTTTATATTGTGTTGTCTTTTTTATGATAGCGTACTAGTTTAAGATTAAGAGCTGTGATACTCTAGTAGTTGATGTTGATGTAAATTAAATTGTTCTCGTCACGATATGGTTGAAATATTGCCGATGTAACGTTAAATATTAACTCACTCACTCACTCACTTATCTATCGTAGAAATATATGCGAATCACTCATGGTGAAGGCTAATAGTAAAATAAGTCAGCACTTCTGTGAGCTATGCCTTCTTCCAGTTAGAGGGATTCCAGCTGCACAAATTCCCGCGAGTCGCTATTCGGCTCGTACCGGAATAGCACGAACTGGTCACGAATGCCAGAGTCATTCACACTGCAGTTATTCTAAGTGGTAACGGTTCTGTAATGAGTGAGTGAGTGAGTTTAGTTTGACGCCGCTTTTAGCAATATTCCAGCAATATCACGGCGGAGGACACCAGAAATGGGCTTCACACAATGTGCCCATGTGGGGAATCGAACCCGGGTCTTTGGCGTGACGAGCGAGCGCCTTAACAAATGTAGGTTGGATAAAACTGTAGTTTCACTGCAATAAATTCCACACTTCATTCCTGTTGTATTTATAGAACCTTTGGGGCGAAGAGGTAGCCTAATGGCTAAAGGGCCACTGATCCAGAGCAATTTCCGTTGACTGGTTGTTGCTTTTGTTATTGTTTTACTCCCCGCGTCCGTCACGGTCGAGGGAGCAAGGGCTGACCAGTTTGCTGCTTGGTTTCGTAATAAGACTATTGGCTGGAAACATTAATCGCTCTGGATCAGTGGCCCTTTAAAGTAATGTTCCCGATCCATCAATCTACACAAAAAACGCATTCCCTTTTGCCCAACCCCCGTTATGTCAAATGTCACTGTCCACATTACCCCCAACTAGAGTATGGCCAATGACATGACCCCCCACCCATGGTATGCCAAATGTCACTATCCACATGATCCCCACCCCGGTATGTCAAATGTCACTATGCGCATGACCCCCTTCCACGGTATGTCAAATGTCACTATCCACATGACCCCCTACCCAGGTATGTCAAATGTCACTATCCACATGATCCCCACCCCGGTATGTCAAATGTCACTATGCGCATGACCCCCTTCCACGGTATGTCAAATGTCACTATCCACATGACCCCCTACCCAGGTATGTCAAATGTCACTATCCACATGATCCCCACCCCGGTATGTCAAATGTCACTATGCGCATGACCCCCTTCCACGGTATGTCAAATGTCACTATCCACATGACCCCCTACCCAGGTATGTCAAATGTCACTATCCACATGATCCCCAGCCCGGTATGTCAAATGTCACTATGCGCATGACCCCCTTCCATGGTATGTCAAATGTCACTATCCACATGACTCCCACCCCAGAATGCCAAATGTCACTATCCACATGACCTCCACACCCTAGTATGCCCAAAGTCACTATCCACATGATCCCCATCCCCGGTATGTCCAATGCCACTATTCACATGATCGTCACCATCGGTATGTCCATTTTCACTATCCATATGATCCTCACCCCTAGTATTCCCAATGTCACTATCCATATGATCCTCACCCCCTGGTATGTCAAATGTCACTATCCACATGACCCCACTCCCGGTATGTCAAATGTCACTATCCACATGACCCCCACCCCCGTATGTCCAAAATCACTATCCAAGGTTAATGAGCTCGGTGCCTCAACAGAGTCAATTTCATATTATGTCGATATTGCCCTTGTGAAAATGAACATTAATTTATTGACAATTATTGACAGAATAAAAGCTATGATCAACATATGTTTGATTGGCCATTCTAAAATTGTAAACTGATCTGAAAGACAAGCGTAAGTTTATGCCACTCCAATCCTGTTTATAGACAATACGCGATATGACTTTATATCTGGATAACGTATGGTCAAGTTCCCATAGGTTGTTGGCCTTTCGCTGCTGAATGGTTTTGAGGTTGTCAAACACGCTAGACAGACATGCGTCTCTTAATATTGGAAGCATTCCTTCTCGTAGGTAAGTATTAGCCTCAATCTGACACACATCCCCATTCGATTGTACTTGCGTGATTTGGGTTTACCGCTGTCTGGAACAGTATTGCATTTCTATGGATATAATATGACGATGTGTGAGCTTACAATATGTGAAGGGTCAGGTGAAATAGGGTTGAGGCCACGTTCAAGATCATTGCCCTTTAAGCGGCTTCGTGGTAGTTCACGCAGATAACATGCTGCATGTGGACATGGTTAACGTGGTAAGCCACAGGTGAACATGGTTAGCCTCAGGTTAACGTGGTAAGCCTCAGGTGAACATGGTAAGCCTCAGGTTAACGTGGTAAGCCACAGGTGAACATGGTAAGTCACAGGTGAACATGATGAGCCTCAGGTGAACATGGTAAGCCTCAGGTTAAGGTGGTAAGCTACAGGTGAACATGGTAAGCCACAGGTGAACATGGTAAGCCTCAAGTTAACGTGGTAAGCCACACGTGAACATGGTAAGCCTCAAGTTAACGTGGTAAGCCACACGTGAACATGGTAAGCCGTAGGTGAACATGGTAAGTCACAGGTGAACATGGTAAGCCACAGGTGAATATGGTAAGCCTCAGGTTAACGTGGTAAGCCTCAGGTGAACGTTGTAAGCCTCAGGTTAACGTGGTAAGCCACAGCTGAACATGGTAAGCCTCAGGTTAACGTGGTAAGCCATAGGTGAACATGGTAAGCCGTAGGTTTACGTGATGGCCTCAGGTTAACGTGGTAAGCCACAGTTGAACATGGTAAGCCACAGGTGAACATGGTAAGCCACAGGTGAACATGGTAAGCCTCAGGTTAACGTGGTAAGCCTCAGGTGAACGTGGTAAGCCACAGGTGAACATGGTAAGCCACAGGTGAACATGGTAAGCCTCAGGTGAACATGATGAGCCTCAGGTGAACATGGTAAGCCGTAGGTGAACATGGTAAGCCACAGGTGAACATGGTAAGCCACAGGTGAACATGGTAAGTCACAGGTTAACGTGGTACGCCTCAGGTTAACGTGGTAAGCCACAGTTTAACATGTTAATCAGCAGGTTAACGTAGTTAGCCACATGTCAACATGTCGTGCCGCAGGTAAACGTGGAAAGCCACAGGTGAATATGGTAAGCATCAGGTTAATGAGGTAAGCGACAGGTGAACATGTGCTGCAGGTTAACGTGGTAAGCTACAGGTAAGCATGTCGTGCTGCAGGTTAACGTGGTAAGCTACAGGTAAACATGTCGTGCTGCAGGTTAAAGTGGGAAGCTACAGGTTAACATGGCATGCTGCGGGTTAACGTGGTAAGCTACAGGTTAACATGACATGCCCCGGGTTAACGTGGTAAGCTACAGGTAAACATGTCGTGCTGCAGGTTAACGTGGTATGCTACAGATAAACATGTCGTGCTGCAGGTTAACGTGGCAAGCCACAGGTAAACATGTCGTGCTGCAGGTTGACGTGGTAAGCTACAGGTAAACATGGCATGCCGCGGATTAACTTTTTAAGCCACAGGTGAACATTTTATGCTGTAGATTACCACAGGCCATGGAATGACGCCCTGTTAGTACCTCATGCCTCAGGCTAACATGATATGCCGCCGGTTATGATGGCAAGCAGAAGGTTAACATGACGTGCATTTTAGCATAGGTACTCTAATTAGGACACCCTAAACTGACTCCGAGCCGACATGCTCTTGTTTCGTCCCATTTACCCCGAGCGCCAGGCAGGATACCATCAGGTAACACCCTTAACATCTTTCGGTATGACGTAGTCGGTGTCGAACCACCTACCCTCTGTTCTCTGGGCAGATGCTCCATCAACTAGACCCCTGAACGTAGGTCGTACGTGGATACCTGAGTTGCTGCGACGTTCGTTTCGAACCTTATTTCAATGCCATCGAGATCACAATTTGATAACTTATTGCACGAGCAGAACCCAACGAGACTTAGCACTCGCTTTTGTTGAGCTAAAGTTTGATTCCTTGAAGATCTCAGGGTCAGCCAGTTGTGGGTTGAATCTTCATATTCATGTGGACTCCCCCAACCGGAAATACTGAACGGAATTGTCTCCCATTAAATTCAAGATGGTTGACATATAAAAATCAGGTAACCACAGCGAAACTACAGAGTCCCGAATATCGCCGAAACAGATTCCTGAGCAAAATAGTGGTGAAAAAATTAATATAGGAATGCATAACTGGAAAACAGAGACATGTAAACAAAAAGAGTAAACAGGGCCTGACCCTCCATTATACACAACGGACGCATGCAATCAACACATATGACGTGCTTGACCATCGCGAATCGTTAGATATGTATCGAGCTATGTGTATTTCCACACAAGCAGGGTGCCTATGTGAACGTTCTACCCTCTCAATAATTCCTTTCGTCGGATAGCAGATTACTTTTATTTCATAATTTGCTTTAAACGTTTCTTTTTATCCGCTGACCGACATTTTCTCTCAATATCATGTTTGTCTGACCTAATGACCTAGTTATAAATGGTTACTTTGGCACGTCAAAAAATGACAAAAAACCACAAACATTCTATTCAGCAATTTCAGCATTTTATTTAGATCAAATCTTTGAAGGGCACTTAGAAGTGGAATGCATAATAATAGCAATTGCCCGCTTATATGGCGCTCATATTCAGGCGGGGCGGTGGGGTAACCTAATGGTTACAGATCTATATAGCCCGTGTTTTATACTGTCTGCTTTAATTGGAATGTTTTAACTTTGTTCGCTAGTTTTATATTCATATCTGTGATTCTCTAGTATATTTACTGTCCATCGTCGACAGGTTTTAATCCTCCAAATGTTTTCACTTTTTATTGTATAAATTGTTTTCGTCACGATATGGCTGAGATATTGCCGATGTGACGTTAAATATTAACTCACTCACTCACTCACTCACTAGTGGTTAAAGCGTTAACTCGTCACCCCGAAGACCCGGTTTCAATTACCCTCATGGGTACAATGTGTAAAGCTCCTTTGTGGTGTCCCCCGCCGTGATATTGCTGGAAGATTGATAAAAGCGGCGTAAAACCAAACTCAGTCACTCATATCAAGGCACATTGCCTGCTCACGGCGCTAAGTACATTACTATCCCCGGTTATAGGACACCATCGTACTATCCTATACTTTTTTAAACTCCCTTGGGAGCTTACAGCCTGTTAGGCGCAATGAACTAATCGCTCACTTTGCCAGCACATCTTCACGGGTACCCATTTTACAACTGGGTGAACTGAGACAATGTGGATTTAAGTATCTTGTCCAAGGATGCTACGCAAAGGTGCCTACCTTGGGATCCGAACCTAGGTGCCTCCACCGGAGATCGAACCTGGGCCTTCAGCGTCATAGGCAGACGCCTTACCGCTGCATTATTGCGCTCAACATGACAAATGCTGACAAACGAATTGAATCTGGTAGCTGATGCAATGGTGTTAGCGTTCTGCTTCGCCGAAGGGACGCAACTATGCAATGCCAACTTTGTTAACATGGTCGACTTGTTCTCCTGTTCCCTCCATACCAGAAGTTTCTGATTATATTTGTTGCAGTATTCTAACTTACCAAGTTTGATGGCGCTAAGTTCAAGCTTGGCTTCCAAACTTTGAATAGTTTTGATCACATATCTGTGTAAATTTGCAGGCATACTTGAGTACGCTCACGCCGATGATGGTGGTGTGGCGTGTGGAATCGTTGATCAGCTGGTGTGTGATGACTTCGCAGAAAGCAGGGTGTGCGGATCGGACGGCAGAGACTATTTTAACGAGTAAGTGGAATATTCCATGCTCATTCTCAAACCCAGCACTGAAACACTCAATTTGGTTAAATTGCACTTCGAAATTATGTGAAACAGGCCCCGATTTCTCTAAACAAACTTAAGTCTGAGTATTGACTTAAGTGAGAGTTTTTACTCAAATTTGAGAAAACGCAGGAAAAAGCATTTCCCAGAATGAACTGAAATCGCCATCAATGTAAAATCGCTCCAAAGAGATTCCTTTATGGGTTTTCCGTTGTATAAAAATGGTTATGTATATTAGCAATTTACAGATATACGTCATTATTAATATGCCAGTGTACCAAATATTGACACCATGTTGTAATATCGGAATCGCGGAGTATAGTTAAAAGTAATGTCACTTTATGCGCATGGCAATTGATAAATAGAGAATATTCAACAATGTCACGTGTAATACCAAATTTATGAAACGAGTGAATGGTTTGGAATCTAACGAGCGAAGGCGAGTTAGATACCAATACCATTTACGAGTTTATTATTATCCACGAGTTTATTATTCATTATTCATAACTTATTATTCACCCAACATTAGCAAATTAATATCTGAGAATTCAACTTACAGAACGACTGCACTACGTCGTCATAACGTATGAATCACACGTATGAATACATTACATTTATGATTGTCAACATTAACTAGTCACCGGAGGCCCAAGCTTTAGGAGTGACAGTTCGTACATTTCTGATGTCAACACCTGCACGCGTCTTAGTTTGCCTCTTCTTGACTTCCAAGAATTCCCTTAGCTATGTAAAAAATGTTTTAAATAAAACATCTGCAATATCGCGACTTTGAGATGTGTTGTGTATGACTGCCGACATTTAGTTTTGATCACGTTGCTTTGTTCATGTGACCGAGTGCAAATAGTTCCGGCAGCAATTTTTAATAACGTTGTGGATTTATTAAACAGTGTTATCTTCAACGGGTGAGCAATCAAAGACTTTTGAAAATCATAAGAACTCTGTAATAAGTCCATAGTACGATTCAGACTATTCATGAACGAAAGCCTAATATGCCGCCACTTTTGTAGCATAATTTTTATTTTCAGCGAAAGTTCTCGTTGAATATTTTTTGCTGCTTCGATTATTTTGTTGTTGCTCCGAATATTTTCTCGTTGTTTCATTTTTTTTCGAAAACTTTAAATTTCAAGTATTTTCTCGTTGCCTGAAGGGGTTTTTTTTCAAAATTTGAAATTTCGAGTATTTACTCGTTCCTTCGAGTTTTTTCTCGTCACTTCAAACTTTTCAAAGAAAGTTGAAGCAACGAGAAATTAATCGAAGCAACGAAAAAATAATTGAAATGACGAGAAAATACTCGTAGGAACTACTAAATGCTCGAAATTTCTAGTTTTTGAAGGAAACTTGAATTAACGAGAACATACTTGAAGTAACGAGAAAATACTCGAAGTAAGGAGAAAATTATTGAAATAACGAGAAAATTATTAAATAACGGGAAATACTCGAAGAACCGAGAATTGTCTTTGAAAAAATATTATATGCTACAAAGGTGGCAGCATTAATTAGGCTTTCGTAACTTATGAGCATGTGTTTTTGTATCACTATCAAATAATGATGATACCAGATGTTCGTGAAAAGGTGAGCGTATCCTGTGCCACTGATGGCCCCGTCATAAACACATGCAAAGTCAAGTCAACTCTTCAACTGAAACAATCACCGGAAAATGTGGCGGTTTTAAAATTAGGAATTGTATCAGACACCGTTTTTGTCTCTGATGCGTCAAAATTGATACTATCCCCATACGATTTTTAAAAAGCTGTACAAAGGCCTTAAATTGTAACCCTGATTAAAAACCCTTCTGCAAGAGCCGTATGATGCTCTTCAAACCCCCTTTGCTTGATTGTACCTCAGAAATTCTGAAATTTATACACAAAAAACTGCTGGCTCTACATACTTATTGTTGATTATGGAAAGTGTAAGTAATTCCTGACTTCGTTTTCAACAAAAAGATATCGTTCTATCTTTCAGCTGTGACTTTGCCAAGGCTCACTGCCACGATTCGACACTGCACGTAGGCAATGTAGGACAATGTCGTACGTCAACTACAGCCACAACAACACCTCCATCGACGCACCCGGCTAACGCCAATCTGTTGTGCAAGGTTCTACTGGCTGCACAGTGTAATGGTGACGCCAAGGAATTATGCGGGACGGATGGGAAGACATATTTTAACTTGTAATTATTGTTTGTGATGATCTGGTTCTCGTAAAAAGTCTATTTTTTTTGTTTTGTCTGTCTGAATGTATCATTATACCTTAGAACTGTAGTCTTACTACTGGCAAACAAGGATAAGTTGAACCGGCGCAAAATGAGTGAGTGAGTTTAGTTTTACGCCGCATTCAGCAATATTCCAGCTATATGGCGGCGGTCTGTAAATAATCGAGTCTGGACCAGACAATCCAGTGATCAACATCATGAGCATCGACCTGCCCAATGGGGAGCCGATGACATGTGTCAACCAAGCCAGCGAGACTGACCACCCGATCCCGTTAGTGGCCTCTTACGACAGGCATGGGTCGTAGGCGGTGCATGGCAATGAACAAACCCATTTGGTTTGTGAAGGTAGAGCAGATGTAAGCTAGTGCACGTGCATTACATGACGATGAAATTGATTTCGCGCGTAGCTGCACACGTCTTGCTCATAAAACTCTCACCTCGGTGTAGCAAGTCGCACTACACTTGATTGCGGACAACCTGTGGCCCCATCACTAACAATGGCAATCGCCAGTGGGCGGCACATACATGCTAATATGGGTCAATTGTCAGGTCGGTGCTCAACTAGTAATCCTTGTTTGCCAGTAATAATGTTAATCACTGGCTTATCTGACACAAACCCGAATAGATACGGGCGATAGATATGCACTCACCAACATGACATTAAGCATACCTGATTTTTATATGACATAACATAAAGTATGGTAAGGTTCTTTAACTCTATATTGAAGACCCGTGAAGATCAGGGGTAGAATACGTCTTCAGCAACCCATGCTTGCCACAAAAGGCGACTATGCTTGTCGTAAGAGGCGACTGGTGGTCAGGCTCGCTGGCTTGGTTGACACATGTCATCGGTTCCCAATTGCGCAGATCGATGCTCAGACTGTTGATCACTGGATTGGCTGGCCCAGACTCGATTATTTACAGACCGCCGCCATATAGCTGGAATATTGCTGAGTGTGGCGTAAAACTAAAATCACTCACTCACTCTATTTTGAGAGGTATGTGTACGTTGAATGTCGATGACGCGGACGATAAACAAGATTCAATCATTCTACCTTCCATGAAGATGACTTTTGCTGTACAGTTCGCATCTAAAATATTGAATTCGTTATGTCCAAAGATAGCTATCAACCTGAGCAAAGACTTTCATTCTACAGCTCTTGTAGCAGACTCGTGAATATCCTGGTTAGAATACAGCAGCTTATGCTTGTCGTAAGAGACGACTAACGGGATCAAGGGGACAGGTTCGCTGACTTGGCTGACACACTTCATCGTATCCAAGTTGCGTAGATCGATGTGTCCGTTCGCCACGCTGAAGACACGGGATCGGTTCCCCACATGAGTGAAATGTGTGAAGCCCATTTCTGGCGTTCCCCGCCGTGATATTGCTGGAATATTGCTAAAAAGTGGCGTAAAGCCATACTCACTCACTCATTAACTCACTCGTTTCCTGTACTTGTGGAGACCGCGTGTGGCCCGTGATTGTCAAAGCGCTCTGTAGATTCTCACACAGGTTCTCAGGCAGGTTCTCACACAGGTTCTCCAACAGTGGGTGTGGTGATGCTGAATGCCATCGCTGCTCTTATGCTGCCATCTTTACACACGGGGCGGTAGGGTAGCCAAGTGGTTAAAGCGTTGGCTCGTCACGTCGCGGATCCGGGTTCAATTCTCCACATGGGTACAATGTGTGAAGCCCATTTCTGCAGTCCCCCGCCATGATATTGCTGGAATGTTGCTAAAAGCGGCGTAAAACCATACTCACTCATTACACCCTATTTGCTTATGCTGTTTCATATATGCACACCATTTTTACAGGTGCAAATTCGAACAAGCCAAATGTTCGTCCCCGGCGTTAGCTGTAGACCACACTGGAGAGTGCGTCACCCCAAGCCCTCTGTGTCAAGCATTCGCCATCGTTCAGTGTGGGGAGACCAGAAAGGAAGTGTGCGCATCTAACAATGTCACCTTTCCCAACCTGTGAGTATATATACTGGGTGGTGTGAGTACCTGCACGAAAATTCGTATGATAATGTTATGAACATCACAAATATAATTACAACTATTTTAAATACGGTAACCCGTATTTCTCTCTTGACCCGTGAAGATCCGGGTTAGAATTGATCTTCAGCAGCCCATGCTTGTGAGAGGCAACTAACAGGATCGGGTGGTCAGGCTCGCTGACTTGGTTGACACGTCATCGTATCCCATCTGTGTAGATCGATGTTCATGTTGTTGAGGACAAGACTGTTTGGTCCAGACTCGATTGTTCAAAGAGCGCTGCCACATAGCTGGAATATTGCTGCTTGTGGCGTTAAACAGCCAACCAAAGACTACAGTAATAGGTGAAATTCATCCCGTTTCAGATGCTCCTTCGAAAAAGCGCAGTGTCTCGATACCTCACTCTCCTTGGTTCGCGAGGGATCTTGCGATGGCTCTCATACACCAGGCACTTCCCCACCGTCCACGACGCCAACGTCACTACCGGACACATCTACAGCCCCGAACAGGCCAAGTCTTTCCCCGACCTGCCGGGCGCTGGTGATTGCACTGTGTGGAAGTAATGTTGAAGCGATGTGTGGAAGTAATGGTATAACCTATGCAAACCCGTGAGTGCATCATAGATCGTATCGACCCAAGATCACACCTGTCATCCAGCCTCTTAAAACTAGTCCTGAAACGTCTTAGGAAACCGCGCGAGCAAACCTAAAACCCAAGGGTCCACATTTACATGGATGGTGAGGTAGCCTAGTGGCCGAAGACCCGGGTTCGATTGCCCAAATGGGTACAAAGGGACAAGCCCATTTCTGGTGTCCCCCGCCGTGATCCTACTGGAATATTGCTAAAAGCGGCGTAAAACTAAACTCACTCACTCCACATTCGGGGTACTATGCACGAGGCGTTCTGACCAGGTTATCCCGGATCGAAAAGGAACTTAGGAAGTCAATCAACTTTGACGAGCGATCGCTTTAACCGCTCGGCTACCCCATCGCCCCTTGTGCATTTGGAAGTACTTGAAGATAGTTAGATAGTTAGTCTCTATTTCTGTAGAAGTGTTTGAAGAGGTTAATGTATGGAGAACTTGTGCTTCACTCATTGTGGTAAGATTCTGCTCTTGATTACCCTGTACAGCCAGGATAATCGATATGTTTTGTGTGATGGAAAATTAGATTCTCACTATCATTTTTTTCAAGGTGCCAGTTGAAGAAAGCTGAATGCTTTGACCCATCTATAAAATTAGTGTCTGTCGGTCACTGCGCGTCGCCAACACTGGCCATCACTCAGTCAACGACTTCCAAACCAACGACGTCACAAGCAACTGCACAAAAGACACAAGGGTCAACGTCGTCACTACCAATGACGTCACAAGACACCACGCAAAAGACACAAGGGTCAACGACGTCACTACCAATGACGTCACAAGACACCACGCAAAAGACAAAAGGGTCAACGACGTCACTACCAATGACGTCACAAGACACCACGCAAAATACACAAGGGTCAACGTCGTCAGTACCAATGACGTCACTGGAAACTTCACAAAAGACACAAGGGTCAACGACGTCACTACCAATGACGTCAAAAGAAACTACGCAAACCACACAAGGGTCAACGACGTCACTACCAATGACGTCACAAGAAACTACGCAAACCACACAAGGGTCAACGACCTCATTACCAATGACGTCAAAAGAAACTACGCAAACGACACAAGAGTCGACAACGCCACTACCATCGACATCAGGATCAACAATGCCAGTGATGACACTTTCCCCGCTGGATATCATCTGTAGAGCTATAATGAATTTTGACTGTCCAATTACACCAGAACCAGTATGTGGCAGTGACGGCAAAACTTACCCTAACGAGTAAGAGCATTATAATAGTAAACTACACCATCCATATGACGCATTACATAACATACAGTTACAGCAGATATATTGACATCATTTGAAGCTGATACGAGCTCATTTTAAAATACAATATTAAACGAATAAGAACTTGTGTGATAATAACATCACAAATCTTATTTATTCTATTCATGCTCATTTTCATTTGTCTCCTGCGAATGATATAACATGACAATTTTGTAATAACTGCTCTTTCATTTCAAGTGCCCCACCGCCTTTAGTTTTTATGCTTTAAATACTTAATATGACCTCTCTTTTTGAAGTAATATTTTTCTTTAAGACATTCCTTAAATCATGTGTCATATGTAGCTTCTATGACCTCTTCTGCTTTCTTTTATTTGCCAGTGCCATCTCAGCCAATAACCTTCAAATAGTTATATATAATTTACGTATTGGAATGAGTATGTACCCTTATCCCATCGACCCATTCTCGTAATCAATGATATATGACTGAGCATACACCCCTGTTGAAGTCCATGCCATGATGCCTGCTATCGCAATCCTTCACGTGTTTGTCTTTCGTTGCAGGTGCGAGTTTGAGAAAGCGAAATGCACACACAGACACCTTCACGTCGCCAGCTTCGGTCCGTGTAACTAGCGAAAAATATACATGTTTACTCAGATTCATTAAACGAATTTAATGGGTATCATACTGCTGGTTATGTTCTGGAAGTACTTGTGGTAATAATCTCCCTTGGCTTATTTGTTTGTTTCGTGTTTAACGCTTCATTCAGCAATATTCTAGCTATAAGTCGGTGGTGTGTAAATAATCGAGGCTGGACCACACAATCCAGTGATCAACAGCACGAGCATCGATCTATGCAGTTGAGATACGATATGTGTGAACCAGACTTTGACTCTGACCACCGTATCACGTTAGTCGCCTCTTACTACAAGCATGGGTTGCTGAACACGGATCTTCAAGAGTGGCCTATTTGTAATGGGACAAGACAACTTATAGTTTGACTTGGTGTATTGATATTCGCATCCGGGCGTGGATATATAAATAATACATAGAGAGAATTCCAATGATTAAGGGGAATTTGCTGTTCACAATATTCCATTAATATCACGGCTATTACCCCATATAGGAAATCGAACACGGTACTTCGGTGGAAAGAGCTAGTGCTTCCAGTCACTTGAATATATTAACATTAATGAAATCAAGAAAGCCTAAACAAATACATGTATTTATTATATGCCCATGTAAACTTAGGATAGTTATACAGGGGCGCAATACGGATGACGTGGTCAAATTCCGTATTGCACGCCAGATTCCGTATTGAACCCCTGCCGGTTTTACTTATTAAGCAAAATATTAATGCACGATAAGAGGGTATATAATAACTCAGACTCTCTTTATTATCGCAGATGATGGCCGTCGAAAAACATGGTAAGAACTAAATTGTTGAGAACATCTCATCTTCTCAGTTAATTAAAATCCTAATAAATTAGAAGGGGAACCAACTGTATCCATCATATAATGGCAAATGTTCAACGCGTTCAATTCATCACTTCTAAAGCAGGAGGACAGTAAGTTTTCTTTGCTGGGTACCGATATCGCCTCAACGTCAGACGACAGACCACAACACATTGGAAGTGTGTACACAACCATGTCCCAGTGGCATCTGAAGATGAGATTCGACTCCTTAGCAGACTACGTCAGCGTGTACAGGAGGACGTCACATCCATTCGGCAGCTGCACGATGAAGAGTTGTCCGAGGTTGCTGACCCAGCGTCTGTACGATCGTTCTCAAGTGTAAAGTCCATTCGTAACTACTCGAGTCATTCCGGCAAGCCGGATCGCGTCTCGTACCCCTCTCGTGGCCATGTTTTCGACTGGGCCCTATCTAAGCGCAAACGGGCATGTAGATGAAAATAGTCTAGTACTATTACAAAGGAAAGATAACTCTGAATTTCCAAACATGGCTCACAGAATATCCTACATTCCGTGGGCAAAACAGCAGTACAGTCATTCGGACTCATTCCCTTTGTAAATATGTTTCACTAAAATTCAGTGTTTAAAGTTTCTGATCCTTTAACTCAAAGTTTAAGTTTAAACTGTGCTTTGCATAGTTTAGCGAAGTTTCAAAGTTCAACGGTGCCGCCATTTTCATGCTTCGAAATGCGTTTTACTACGCGTGATTTGATTGGTTGGCCACGATTCTTGGCAATTATGGCGTACGATAGGGGTACGAGTCTTCTTGTAGGTCACGGAAAGAGGCGAGTAGTTACGAATGGTGTAAAGTCCTCCCTCTACCGGCACAGAAGCAAAGTTCTACCAAACCTACCCAAGTCTCTAGCTGATGTTCCACTCGAAGGACCATGGACTCAGACAAAAGATGGACAGCAATGTTTGTGCATTGATGATGGTGACGACGACAAGATACTGGTCATTGTCATTTTTTTAAACTTCTGTAGGAAGAGTGGGAAGACACCATAGAATTAACCAAGTAACTGGTCAAGTTCATTTTAGCAGGGGTAGAACAGGTCAGAGCGGTGTATTCACTTCCTGATCACTGGACCGTATCATGTTGTTTTAACCTGTAGGCAGTTTGGAACTGTAGGCAGTATAGGAATACACCTCCGAGTGAGGCGCGCCGTATTCATTCAGCCATAACATTGCAAGTACCGGAAAGGCTACCCTCATTGAACCGAGAAGCGTCACAATTTTAGCCTTCCCGGCCATGAACCGTGCTACTCTTCATATTGATATAGAGCGTCATACCAGTGCATTTGGATGTTTTGTATTGAACGATAGGATGTCATGGGAGCAGACAAAAAACTCGTTGTTTCTCTGCTCCCATGACATCTTCTCGTTCAATACAAAACATCCAAATGCACAAGCATTATTTCTATATATGTATAACACGTCAGATACTACTTAGTTTCGCGCAGAAACAGATCAATGGGTGTAAAAGGCAGGATTGTTATGTAAAATATATGGATGGATTACTGAAATGTGTGGACAATCGGTGGTCGTGATATGCTGTTTACAGAAGATGAAGTCGCCACTTAGCACCACAATGTCTTTGTAGATGAAGAAGTATTGTTGTCATAGGAAACTTCACAAAAGACACAAGGGTCAACGTCGTCACAACCAATGACGTCAAAAAAATCTACACAATAGACAAGGGTCAACGACGTCACTTCCAATGACGTCACAAAATCGTCACAAAAGATACAAGAGTGAACGACTTCCAAACCTGTGACGTCACAAAAATATACACAATCGACACAAGGGTCAACGACGTCACTACCAATAACGTAACAAACATCGTCACAAAAGACAAGGGTCAACGACTCCCAAACCAATGACGTCATAAATATCTACACAAAAGACACAAGGGTCAACGGCGTCACTACCAATGACGCCACACAAATCGACACAAAAGACACAAGGGTCAATGACGTCACTACCAATGACGTCACAAAAATCTACACAAGAGACACCAGGGTCAACGTCGTCACCATTTGGCACCACAATGTATTTGTAGATGAAGAAGTATTGTTGTCATAGGAAACTTCACAAAAGACACAAGGGTCAACGACGTCACTACCAATGACATCACACAAATCGACACAAAAGACACAAGGGTCAACGACGTCACTACCAATGACGTCACAAAAATCTACACAAGAGACACCAGGGTCAACGTCGTCACCACTTGGCACCACAATGTCATTGTAGATGAAGAAGTATTGTTGTCATAGGAAACTTCACAAAAGACACAGGGTCAACGACGTCACTACCAATGACGTCACAAAATCGTCACAAAAATCGTCACAAGGGTCAACGACGTCACTACCAATGACGTCACAAAAATCGTCACAAGAGACACCAGGGTCAATGACGTCAGTACTAATTACGTCACAGGAAACTTGAGGGAGACACAAGGAAGATCATGTCTGGCGATAGGACAGGAATGTTAAATTGACTAGTAACCGTTAGGTTAACGACGTTTAAGAAACAGATGTGTCATTCTCACAGAGAGTAGACAATTACTGTTTTGGTTACACATTTTGTGTAAGCTTTGATACCTTATGTCCCAACTCTTGGGAATGATCTCCCCATCTGATTGTCCCCGTTTTGTTGACATTTTACGTAGGTATATACGGCACTATATTGCTTTAATTGCTTGCTTTAATCGATAGCTTTAATGAAATGGTTTAATTGATTGATTGCTTTAATTGCTTTGATTGATTGATTGATTGATTGATGCTAAACGCCGCACTCAACAATATTCCAGATATATGGCGCCGGTCTGTAAGTAATCGAGTCTGGACCAGACAATTCAGTGATCAACGACATGAACGTTAATCTACACAGTTGGGATACGATGACATATGTCAACGAAGTAAACGAGCCTGACCACCCGACCCCGTTAGTCGCCTCTTACGACACGCGTGGGTTACTGAAGGCCAATTCTAACCCGGATCTTCACGCGTCTTTAATTTATGAGAACGCCTCCGTGGACAGTGGACAGAGTGTTTGCTCGGAGGTCGAGGTTCGATTCCCGGGGGCTTGAAAAATGTTACATCAAAAGACTCTTTCTGTAATCCTGCTTGGCGTTCGGCATTATGAGGGTAAAAGAAGGTCATATCTGCTCGGTATGCCGTGTCTCAATGAGATATCTCGGTGGGCTAGCACAATAAAACAATGTATGTAACCGGGATAGTGTTTGGTTGTCAAGAGCCCAGGACACTGGTAAAGGGGGTGAGAACTTTTATTTCCAATGATAATAACACCCTGAAACAATACATGGTTCAATAAATACAAATTCATAATGTATACTTAAGATTTCAAATCAGTCATTACATCTTTTAGATGAAATACTATCATCACACACATTCAGGACAAATAAAGTACAAGGGGCGATCACTCCTCGCTTTACTGTCATAAACATGGTTAAGGTAGAAATACATATGAATCCTGTAAACGTGTCCAGATAAATTATATGAAGCATACAATACTACATAAATATATACAATCAAGCACAATGTAATGCCTAACCGGTGTATGGCACAAGGGTGCAGAATACAGCCCCGTCAGGCCAGTCAAACGTACGTTTAATCTGTAGTGATGTTATAAGACGGATAAATTCCAACACTGGATAAACGCCTTGCACGTGCAGACAGTGAAAGTGAACATTTGAATTAGTAAAAGAGGGCAAAGGTTTGAATGATCTAATCAGATTGGATCAGCTAAGGGCAAGGTTTTGTTAGACTCAGTATAGCAGTGTAACGAATAATACTGAGCCTAAGTTTACTGAGACTGCAATCAAACAGACTTCACCAAACGCAAGCTCACCGAAACCATCCACATCAAACGCCATAAACCCATATCCAGTGGAAACCACCTCCACCAAGACCAATCTAACTAAACAGACCTGATAAACAAACACTTTTCCTTGGTCCCGGCAAATTTCTTCATTAATTATCACTATTAGAGTCCTGTTAACTAAACTTGGATAAGTAAACAATACCGCTTAACTAAACGTCTTCTCACAGTCCCTGGAAGTAAATTTATTAATTAACAAAAGAGACTGGATAACTAAATTAGCGATCACCACATAATCCGGCATGAGGGGCAAGTGTCAGTCTCCAGTTAAACAAACATCCTACTTACAGCTCGCTGGCGTCATGCAGTTGACAATACACTGACAACTGGAGGCCAGCCCTGATAAGTTGTTCATTGTTACATATGCATACATATACATGCATATGGTTGTCATTGGCAGATTTTTATAGGTTTGGATAAGTAAAATACCTGATAAGTAAACAATTTTGGCGAGTCCCTTGGAATTTTACTTATCAGGTTTCCACTGTAAATACCTCTCCATATTCCATTTATGATTGACAACGGCACAAGAATCTGTATCGAAACGTCGGGCTCACAAAAAAAGCAGTTGTTATCCATATAGTTTGTTCTATATTATTCTTCGCTTCTGGCATTACCTTTTTATAGTGATTCATAAAAACACATGCTCATGTTTATGTCATTACTATTTTTCCAATCCACATCCATTCAAGTTACATCTGTGTATAAAATGGCGACATTCATGTACATGCCCATGAAGTATCTACTCGGGACTGTTCGTGTACTGATCTTTCACGCCTTGATCTGTTGTGACTTAATATATCTTCGAGGGTGTCACGGCATCTCATGCCAAAGGAACCCGTGAAGATCCGGGTTAGATTTGATCTTCAGTAACCCATGCTTGTCGTAAGAGGCGACTAACGGGATGGGTGGTCAGACTCGCTGACTTGGTCGACACATGTCATCGGCTCCCAACAGCTTAAATCGATGCTCATGATGTTGATCACTGGATGGTCTGGTCCAGACTCCATTATTTACAGACCGCAGCCATATAGCTGGAATATTGCTGAATGCTGCGTAAAACTAAACTCACTCACTCACTCACTCGTGCCAAAGGCGATAAATCGGCCTAAATGTTATTGCTAAACTAAATGTTTGGTAATAACACATCGAAAGCCAATTGCCGACATGAAATGAATGTGATTCCTTGCCATTGCAGTCTTGGTATTGCTGTAATACATTGTATTATTTTAAAGCGGCGTACAGCGAGGGCAGCCATGGGAGGTAACTCATGCTGTAACCACGTCAGCAGCTGTGTGTATTCCAGTGGTTAAGGTTCGTCTTTGATGTCTCTTGTCAAGATATTGCTAGCATATGTCAAAAAGCGGCCTAAAATCACATTCGCTACCTGGATCCCGCTTCACAAAGCTATCGTAGCGCTACGACTGCCGTACCTCCTATACTGTAACATTGACTTATAACAGTCGTAGCGCTACGATAGCTTTGTGAAACGGGTCCCTTGACTAGCAAAACACCACGCTTGCTTCTGTAACAACGCTAATATTGAATGGCATAAAATCCAAGGGAGACAACACAATTATATCCCCGCGCGGTGAAAACGTACCGATGAATTTCACTTTAAACAAAAAAGTAAATCACATAAAGTGAAATTAAGATTGAGAATCCTCATGATTTTACCTTGCCAATTGAACTTTTAAATCTCAGAATTTTATTCAACTTATGAAAAGCTGTTTAACAAACGATCATAGTTTCAAATCGCTATTATTGGTTTGTATTACAAGGGTGTACGAGAAGTAGTTGGAATAGTGAAACAAATGCACGTGCGGTACGTGATGAACGTTAACTTTGACTACCGTAGAAACCAACCCTTCTTGTTCTCGGGGTTTAATTTAATGTGCATACCCCTATGCAATACACACCAATAATAGCGATTTGAAACTATGATCGTTTGTTAAACAACTTTTGTCCTAAGTTGAATAAAATTCTGAGATTTTAATGTTCAATTGGCAAGGTAAAAATCATGAGGATTCGCAATCTTAATTTCACTTTATGTGATTTACTTTTTTGTTTAAAGTGAAATTCATCGGTACGTTTTCACTGCAAACACACTATAGTCAGTCTTACGGTTGAGATTTTCGCGACTCACGCAGTTGGCCTATTTTCTATTGCCAACCTGGGTATGATGAAACAGACTGTAGGTTGTCCCTATGGCGTTGCTTCAGCAATACTACGAGATCATCGATGAAAATGTCTGAACCTCACTATGATGGACTACTTTAATTGAAAATGTCGCAAACTATTTTAAAGCGTCCTCCTGATGCTGAAAGTCCCCCACTGTTCAAATCACGTCATCGTCATTTACACAATCTATGACGGTGCCAAAGCTGGTGCATACCAAGCATTGTCAATGAATTCAAAGCCACAGCCATGCTGTGCAGTCACAGACTTGTTCCGAGGAACAATGCCTTTAGTGGGTTTACTGTGACGTTTAGCCTTGATATTATCCCGGATTTGCCTAAGCAGGTTGGGATAATGGTCTGACCTGAGTGGTCCACAGATAGGAATTCTTTGGAATCCCAGAAAACCAAAGCCACCATTGCCAGCTGCCGAAAGAGCCCGAGAAGCGATGTAATGATGCTTGTTAAACAAAAGAATCACCTCCATGGTCGAGTGGGCAGGGTAATTGCCGAAGGAGGCTAAGCTCTGTGGTTAAATCCCTGACTGTGCCATACGTTACGAGATGGTACTTGCTTTTGCCCTGCCTGGCGTTAGGCACTAAGGGAGAAAACACGGATTCAGGTTTGGAGTCAACATAATGTATTTGAGTGGGTTATTTTAGTTAATTTCTGCATGGTATCCAAGTGAGTTAGCACGGAGTTGTTCCAACAGTCACAGCCACGAGGCTAGTTTGGTCAGTAATCTTGAACATGACGTTTAACCCTTGACACAGGAAAGTAGAAACTTCAGCATTTTACAACAGATGTAACAATTTCCATACACATCATGTCAACAGGAACTGTCTTCAGGAGGTGTCTCATTCAACACCATGTCGCCGTTCAACAGTAGTCCTCGGTCATCCTGAAAACAGTAACAAATATTGACGTTAATCATCTCAAATCAAACTCAAATACAGGATTCCATTCGAACCGCTATCTATTTCACGAAGACTGCTGACTTACTGGTGTGAAGAGGACCACTTTTCATGGATAGCCAACGTCTTTATTGCAATAGATGCGACGTTTCGGTGCAGATGCTAACACTGTTATCAAGCAAGTGATAACGTCAAGCAAGTGATAACAGTGTTAACATCTACACAGGAACGTCGCCTCCAGCTTCTAAATGCCACTTAAATACATTACTGGTGTGAAAAAGAATGCATTTAATTTACAAAATGTTTGCATAATTTTGGAGGATATTTGATTATCATAGAAACAGGATGAGTGAATGAGTGAACGGGTTTAGTGCAGTATTCAGTTATATCACGGCCTTCAACCACACCGTTTGATGAAACTGCAGAAATATTTACTCCATTTCTTCATGGTTACCATCTTTGTGGAGCCCACTAGCATGGGTATTGGCAGACCATGAGGAGGAATCTGGGATTGTAAAACGGTCAGTGGATACTGGAACCACAAACGGAGGAAACCCTGCAGTTTACCAGCCAATCAGAACTGATATTCTGGTGACAGACCACGGCACGTTATATAGCGTTCATCGTGGATATAACTGTCTTCCTGATCGACCTGACATTTACTAGGGGCGGTGGGGTAGCCTATAGTGGTTAAAGCGTTCGCTTGTCACGCCAAAGAACCGGGTTCGATTCCCCACATGGGTACAATGTGTGAAGCCCATTTCTGATGTCCCTCTGATATGGCTGGAATATTTCCAATAGCGGCGTACAACTAAACCCACTCACACACTGACATTTTACATTTTGACTGACTGACTGAGTTTAGTTTTACGCCGCTTTTAGCAATATTCCAGCAATATCACGGCGGGTTTTACATTTTGAACATATACGGCTTGAGTTCAGTGTTTATTGCGGATATAGACATCAGTTTGTTTCGGCTTCAGTTGGAAACTTCAGTTGCATCAAATCCAGCGTTCCAGCTTTCATGAGGTAGTTGTTAAATAATCGCGTTTGGACCAGACGAGCCGGTGGTTGATATAATGAGCAGCGGTCTAAGCCACCAGGGGTACAACGGTACGCCATGGACTAAGTTAATGAATGTGTACATCGGTTGCTTCCTACTATGTGGTTGCAAGGTACACATTCTAACGAGTGAGTGAATTGGGGGTATGTCAGCTTAAAGTTGTCGGAAAGTCACGGATGTGAAAAAAGGGGATCGTTTTAGTGACATCCATAAGCACAGATATAATGCTGACAAACTTGATAATGATCGAGGTGGAATGTAATTCGAACAGCTATGTACGCCCTAGGCGACTGGCTTAGTTTGTTGTTTATGTCCTAGCTATAATGCGGCGGTCTGTAAATAATAGAGTCTGGACCAGACAATCCTGTGACCAACAACATATGTATCGATAACAGCATATGTATCGATACGCAACTGGGATACGATGACATGTGTCAACCACGTCAGCGACCTGAACACCCGATCCCGTTAGTCGCCTCTTACGACAAGCATGGGTTATTGAAGGCCAAGTCTAACCCAGATCTTCAAGGGTACTGATGCGACTGGAAAAATCTTGCCCCTATACGTGATTAGAACGCACAATGATTCCATTATCCTCACGAATTAGCTGTACGTACCTGAGTGTGTGAGCGTCTCGCTGTGATTACTTTTCGGACAAAACAGAAAAGGAACGCAAGTATCAACAGAACTGCCACAACTGGCAATGCAATTGTCAGTGCCTCACTACTCGCATGGTGGAGTCTCCTTGAATGACTTGCCCTTCCAGTGGAGTTGAGGGTCGTCGGCATTTTGGTACTTGTGGGCAATGGGTTTGGTGTGGAGCCATGATCTGTTACTGATGGTTCTGTTGTGGAGCTATGGTTCGTCCTAGGTACTTCTGATGTTGAGCTATGGTTGGTTCTTGGTGCTTCTGTTGTGGAGCTCTGGTTTGTCCTTGGAGTTTTTGGTGTGGAACTCTGGTTTGTCCTATGTGTTTCCGGTGTGAAGCTATGGTTTGTCCCTGGTTGTTCCGATGTCGATACAGCCTGGCTATGCGTACAGTTCGCAGTAGCTTCATCTTGCGGACAGACAGAGTGACATGTCCTGTTCCAAACAAAGGCTGCTTCTGAAGGACAGACGCTGAGACATGTTCCGTTGTAGATTACAAATCCCATTGTCCTACAGGAGGAGTCTTTGACACATACAGAAGTATTCCAGATGAGGGTGTCAGTGGGGCAACTGGAGACACATTTACCTGTATCAATGAACGGAAAAGGTACTGGACATGTTTGTCTACATGTTCCATTGTAAATCAGAAATCCTTTGTCTGTGCAGTTCGTGATAGGTACACATGCTGAGTTGTCAACCACCCACCCTAAACTGGAGCACGTCTCTACAGGGACGCATGTTGAGTTGAGGGTCACCAATCCTTTCTTCGTACAGTTTTCCACAGGTATGCAAGTTGATTTGTCAATCACCCACCCCTTAACTGTACACTTTTCCACAGGTTTGCAAGTTGATTTGTCAATCACCAACCCTTTAACTGTACAGTTTTCCACAGGCATGCAAGTTGATTTGTCAATCACCCAACCTTTAACTATACAGTTTTCCACAGGTATGCAAGTTGAGTTGTCAATCACCCACCCTTTAACTATACAGTTTTCCACAGGCATGCAAGTTGAATTCAAAACAACCCTTCTGAGACGTATGCACTGACTGAAAGAAACACAAGTAGTTCCATTTACAAGAGTGTCGTCAGGACACAGTTCTAAGCATGTTCCATTGTAGATGTAGGGAGCATGAACCGGACACTTGGAAACACATGTGCCATTTGAAATGAACCTGGTCAAAGCCAGGCAGACTTCAGGCGATATACACAAAGACTGATGAACAACATAATCCAGTGGGCACGTCTCAACGCAAAAACCATCGTTATGAAAGTAAGTTTCATCAGGGCATTTAATCACACAGGTGCTGTTGTATATAAAAGCCGGCTTCTCGAGGCATTTGTCTGGTGTTATACACCGAGAGTTTGTGTCCAGGATGGTATTATCTGGACAAGAAGGGTGGCAGGTCACACCCTTGATGTACGGGGCCTCGCTGGGACATGACTGCAAACACTTCTGTTTGTATAAAACTCCTGAATATTCCGAATCACAGTGTTCTTGAAAGATGCACATCGTTCCGTTGATGTAGGTGTCTTTCGGGCAGATTTCGTAGCATCGGTGCAAATCACGGTAGTGGAATAACCCTTCTGCGCATGTCTTGACACAGGTTCCGTTATAGAGGATCCCGTTTGAATCTATGCACTCGTGTTGTCCTATACATTGTGTCCCTCTGGCGTAAGTAGGTGGTGGACAAGTGGTGTAGCAAGTGTTGTCCCTGTCGCAGAAGGGCTCTGCCTGGTCACACTTACAGGAGAATGTAGCGCATTGTACCGTTACAAGTAGGGAGAGGCTAGCCACAAGGAGGGAGTTTATATGGGTCATGATAACTGTTCCTGGTGTTGTATACATTCGCCCGATTTCATCTGAAATAAGGACAAAGCGGTTATGGCGAATTCGTTCAAAGAGAAGTGAACATCATGTCTAATGCCGCCGATGTTCTTCTGTTAAACTTGTAACGCATTGTGGTATTTAGTAGAGTCTGCTTTGATTACTTGTTGTTTAACAGGGGTTCCTTTCACGAAGCACTAAGGTGATCGTAAGTCACTAAGGTAACCTTAGTGCAATCTTAAAGAATGGGAGTTAAGGTTAACCTTAGTAAAGGTAGCTTCGTGAAAGTAGCCCCTGGTCTGTAAAGAGTCGGGTTTGGACCAGACAATCCATTGATCAGCAGCATGAGCATCGAACTACGCAAATGGGACCCGATGACATGTGTCAACCGAGTCAGCGAGCCTGACAACCCGATTCCGTTAGTCGCCTCTTACGACAAGCATGGATTGCTGAAGGCCAATTCTAACCCGGATCGTCAAGGGAATTGTATTTACACACACACACACACACACGCGCACGCACGCACAGATAGATAGATAGATAGATAGATAGAGATAGATAGAGAGTCAGTAGTTCAATGTGTATGAATAAACAAAGTATTATAGAGAAAAAACAGAAATAATTATTATAATATTAGTAGTAAGGAGAAGAAGAAGGAGGAAGAGTAGAATAAGAAGAGGAAGTAGAGGTACATCATCAACAACAACCACAAACCTAAAGAAACAATAAGTTTTAAAGGGATTCCAAAGGACCCATCAACAACCGACATTGAAATGTTCGCTTACAAAGTCCTACTCAAGTATTTGGGGATAACCATGAAGCTATACACATTTTATGAGAGAAGGAAGTGTAACAGCTGCAAGCTGTTGGTAAGATCGACGCCCATACACAGTACAGATTCTGCAGATCGGTGTATATTTCAATATAAGTGACCGTTCATAATTCATGGCTGGTGTGCGTGCGTGCGTGCGTGCGTGCGTGCGTGCGTGCGTGTGTGTGTGTGTGTGATATGATGATTTTAGGGGGGGGTTCACCCATTTCGTTCTGGGGAGCTAGGGGGGTCAGCAATTTTGTACACATGTACTAGGGGATCAGCAATTTTGTACATAAAGATATGTTTAAAATTATGCTTAGAAATTATGGGAAAGGGAGGGGGTCATTGATTTTGTACATGACATGCAGGGGGGTCACTTATTTTGTACATAAATTTGGGGGCATTCATAGTGTACAAGTTCTCCATAAAAATCATCATCCCCCACCCCCATCCCCAGCAATAAATTATGAACGGTCCCTAAGTGCGCGTTCCACAAAAACAAAATCGATTGCAGTCATGTGTAGTTGCGTAATGAACCACTGTATGAAATAAGGCCCGTCCGACCGCCCGAGACGGTCTAGATTTCTGACAGACGGTCTAAATTTACAGCTAGCCAGCCCGATGGTCTGGTAAAAAAATTAGATGTTTAATAAATCTTGGTGTCTGGTCTGGTTAAATTCATTTTGGGCCGGTAACATTTTTTGAAGTTTCCAGCCCTGATGTCTGACTGGGTTTTGGGCTTATTTCATACACCGAATGAACCGAACATAACTTGGACCTACTGAACAATAACTCGGTGCGCCTAGTGGCTGCAAGAGTTGTATGATCCCCAGGGAGTTGAGATTGATAACACGATGTGCCGTTGAGACTGACATCCAATGATCGAGGGAAAGATACCAGCGCCTTGAGCAAGCACTAGTTGCCTGGCTATGTGCGCTATATACATATCCTATAATAATAATAATAACAAAAAAGAGGCTTCACATTAGGAGAAATGAATTACACTATATTGAAGATGGATAGTACAAGGTAGTTAATATCGGCGAATATCACATTGGCCAGGCCTCACCTGACATCCGCCCATTTCAACTGTGGTGAACCACGCGGGGTGCATGCAGCACGCCGTTTAGTGTCAACGCAACCCTGCACGTGTACGGGGTCACGTGACCACAATTTCATGCGTGAAACCACCAACACGTGCGCAGAAGTTGCTGGTGATCAGAAAAAACAGGTTTACAATCGCTGAGAGATAAACAACCTTCATGCGACACCTTACAGATGTAAGGCATTACTTGACTATCATAACGGGTGATATGGACACATGATTGTCATAACGAGTGGTATAGACATGATTATCATAACGAGAGTTATAGGCAAATGATTATCATAACAAGTGGTATAGGCACATGATTATCATAACGATTGATATAGACACATGATTATCATAACGATTGACATAGATATATGATTATCATAACGAGTGGTATGGACACATGATTATCATAAAGAGTGGTATGGACACATGATTATCATAACGAATGGTATGGACACATGATTATCATAACGAGTGGTATAGATACATGATTATCATAACGAGTGTTATAGACACATGATTATCATAACGAGAGTTATAGACACATGATTATCATAACGATTGATATAGATACATCATTATCATAACGAGTGTTATAGACACATGATTATCATAACGAGTGGTATGGACACATGATTATCATAACGAGTGCTATAGACACACGAATATATCATAACGATTGATATAGATATATGATTATGATAACGAGTGGTATGGACACATGTTTATCATAACGAGTGGTATAGGCATATGATTATCATAACGAGTATTATAGACACATGATTTTCATAACGAGTGGTATAGATACATGATTATCATAACGAGTGTTATAGACACATGATTATCGTTACGAGTTGTATAGACACATGATTATCATAACAAGTTGTATAGACACATGATTATCATAACGAACGGTATGGACTCATGATTATCATAACGAGTGTTATAGACACATGATTATCGTTACGAGTTGTATAGACACATGATTATCATAACGAACGGTATGGACTCATGATTATCATAACGAGTGGTATGGATACATGATTATAATAACGAGTGGTATGGACACGTGATTACCATAACGAGTGGTATGGACACATGGTTATCATAACGAGTGATATAGACACCTTATTATCATAACGAGTGGTATGGACACATGATTATGATAATGAGTGGTATAGACACATGATTATCATAACGAGTGATATAGACACATGATTATCATAACGAGTGGTATGGAGACATAATTATCAGTACGAGTGTTATAGAGACATGATTATCATAACGAGTGGTATGGACATATGATTATCATAACGAGTGTTATAGACACATGATTATCATAACGAGTGGTATGGACACATGATTATCATAACGAGTGATATAGGTACATGATTATCATAACGAACGGTATGGAGACATGATTATGATATCGAGAGTATCCAGCCAATGATTATCATAACGAATGGAACAGACTCATGATTATCACAGCTAGAGTCATGACCCATGATTATTACAACGGAGGTTTAGATCCATGATTAATATTACCAAATAAATACTCGATGATGATAGTTGCATTTAGTTAACTGTGATATTTTGTTTCTGCGATCAACAAAAGACGAATAATTTGTCTCAAACATCATAAGTTACCTACAAAGATGTTCATGAATATACTTAATATCACAAATAATAATTAAGCCATGAATATTTAGAGCACATCACGTAAATGTATACTTTACATCCATTGACCACAAATGTACATGTCCTCGTGGATCACTCCTATTCAATATACTGCCTACCTTTCGAGCTACATGACTACTTCCATCTTAAACGTCCCCTTTGACACAAGGCACAGTGTGACATAGAACGCAGTAACATCACATTAACAGCTAGTTCTGAAAGTTCAAATTTCAAATGCAATCTATTTAATAATGGACATCCGTATAAACGAGTGCCCTGTATAACACAATACAGCTGACTCTAGACTCCGTGTCTTTTGTCCAGAATACCAGGGGGTCTCATCACACATTCGACTAACAGAGACAAACAAATAGTGATATATTACAAATATTTATAAGACAATAAAAATCCCCTACACTAACATTTGATATGAATGATTAAACGTGGCACAACACTTAGTAAATACAACGTATTTCTTACCATAATTGGACTTTCTGGACTTCGTTCGTTAGACTGTGTGTATGTGACGTTCTAAAGACTGACGGTTGCCCTATTAATAGATAGATCATAAATGCAACATTCCTAGCCTGTTATGTATACATCCAACACTGACGTCGGTAGTGTACTGCACGACGTCCATTGTTAAAGTGTATTGAAGCAGCACAATGGGCGTCGTGAATGCATGCTGAATCATTAAGTATTGTCGTTCTGTGAGCTCGTATATATACTACCCATCAAAAGTTTAGACTCACTAGTGTAAATGTATCCACTTACTTCTGTCAACTGTTCTAAACTAGATTTTGCAAAATATTCCATACTGTTAAAAGGTACTGTTTACACATGAACTGATGTATTTTAAAACAAATTCGTAATGTTGAAAAGATTATTGACATAAATCAATAAATGATGGAACTCAGTGAAAAAAGACAAATTCATAACAAAACTTTACACAAAAACGCAGCTGGTCACATGCACGATATTTGCACATGCTTTTTAGCAACTTGCTGCATTATCGTGCAATTCATCAGCATAAGGTTTGCAGTTGGTTCCCCGAAGTTAGTGGAGAAATTCATCTTCGATGTAACCATACACATATACATGACAGATAGTGACTGCTTTGAGGGAGTCTAAACTTTTGATGGGTAGTATTTGACTGTGTTCCTTAACTCGGCAATACTTCAATGGCATGCTGTTTTAAGCTACAGTCCCTAGTATTTCAACTGAAGGCGTTTGTGGGTGACTTTAGTTTTACGCCGCTTATAGCAATATTCCAACACCACAACAGCGTGGGACATCATAATTGGGCTTCACACATTTTACCCATATGGGCCTCGAACCCGGGTCTTCAACACAACCATTAAGCCACCCCACCTAAAGGAACAGACTGTATATTTAGAATGTCAACGCCTGAGGATACCTTGGTTTGAGGATCCAACGAGACAGAATCTATTCGACATAAAAGGCAAAATATCAGTTAAAATATAAACTTTCGTAAAGTTCATTTTAATTCAGATTGGCTGAACGGGTGACGTGTCATTGTATTTATTACACATTGAATGTAAAAAATCAAACCATGCCCATCATAGCGGGCTGCTTTTACCGCTACGAATTCTCGGAGAATCCCATTTAGAAGCAAAGTGATTCTTTTTCTGTTTACCCGTATCATTTGCAGTGTGCGAAATAGTTTCCCAATTTTACTAGCCAGTCGGGCTAGCTATGCCTGAAAGTTACTAGCCCACAAAATAATTCCGAAATTTGAATGAAAAAACTAAGCAAAAGATTACAAAAATAGATGAGAATAAGATATTGTCATCAATAAGCTGCTAATATGATGAACATTTTTATCAGGCCATAATCTTGCGTGATTTAAAAGTATATTTTAACTGAACACGTCGGAGAGTCATATATGTACAAAATGAGCACATGAAAATTCACTAGCCAGTCGTGCCAGTGACTGTGGAGATTTACTGGCCCGACTGGATTTTTACTAGCCACAGGCTAGCGGGCCAGTGGCTATTTCGCACACTGAATCCTTTGTACTCGGGGCATTATAGCGATATTGGTACATATTCAGGATCGTTCAAACCACCTTTCGACACCTCTTGTTCCCCTAGGTCACACATATGTTCGGGGTTTATTCCAAAGTGGTATGTTTTAGTTTCGTCTACCCGTTTTCAGGAAACCAATGCTTGACTTTGGTGGTTACTGACTATATCATTTAAACTATATAGCCGCCTTCTTCCTACCATGGGCGTGGGGTAGCCTAGAGGTTAAAGCGTTCCCTCGTCACGCCGAAGACCCGGGTTCGATTCCTCACATGGGTACTATGTGTGAAGCCAATTTCTGGTGTCCCCCGCCGTGATTTGGCTGGAATATTGCTAAAAGCGGCGTAAAGCGGCAATCACATCTTGCGGACACGTACCCGTGAAGATCCGGGTTAGCATGTGCCTTCAGTAACCCATGCTTGTCGTAAGAGGCGACTAACGGGTTCGGGTGGTCAGGCTCGCTGACTTGGTTGACACATGTTATCGGTTCCCAATTGCGCAGATCGACGCTCATGATGTTGGTCACTGGATTGTCTGGTCCAGACTCAATTATTTACAAACCGGCGCCATATAGCTGGAATATTGCTGAGTGCAAACTAAACTCACTCACTCACTCCAACAATATCACGGCGGGGGACACCAGAAATGGGCTTTACACATTGCACCCATGTGGGAAATCGAACCTGGGTCGATATAGCTGGAATATTGCTGAGTGCGGCGTAAAACTAAACTCACTCACTCACTACGGATACGCAAATAGTTGGCCGTAGTAGGGGATGAACGTAGTAGATCGTAGTAGACCCGTGCTTGACCTTAGTTAAACGTAGTTACACGTACATTGTATTTAAGCGTAGTTCAACGTGGGGATTCGAACCCGGGTCTTCGGCGTGACGAGCCAACGCTTTAACCACTAGGCTACCCCACCGCCCTACTATTCTACTAGTTGTGTACGTTTCATCAAAGGTTAATACGTGAGTCACTGTTTATGTTCCTCCTATATAAAGATGACGTCGTGATGTAGCAGAAATACTGCCCAAAGGCGGCGTAAAATACAACTCACTCACTCTATAATAAGAAGTCGGTGTGGTGTATCTGGGCGCCAGGTCCAAAACAAAACAACAAACGGTAATCATATTTTGTGGACTGCACACAAACAGGTCAACATGACAAGTATCGATTACGTGTTCAGTATGGTAGTAAAGATCGATTGTTTACGTGAATCGTTTGAGGCGACACAGCGAAATGTGCATTATTGACTTAGAGGGAATCGACTGCTTCCAGTGTTAGGTACTTACGACTGCTGGTTTAACGTTTTAGATATTGTGTAACCGACTCAGTTTTTATAAATCGACAGTATAAATTTCAAGACAAGTTTATCGAAGAGGAAAATTATGTTATTAAAAGAAATGTCGGATGCTGTATTGTCATTCCGAGCTTCAAACTTACTATCTATGAACTGGGGGTCTCGCAAACTGTCACTACAATACACAAGGTTCAGAGTTCAGTTCCACGATTAACTTTATGCCTGAGGAAAAAAAAGTGTGTTTGGTGTTTTTTCCAATTACATCGGGAACAGACTAGCCGGACACACCAATCCACATCGTTTTAATGGTTGTGTGTCTCTGTGTGGTGTGTGTTTGTGTTTGTGTGTTGCTCAGTCTCTCTCTCTCTCTCTGTCTCTCTCTCTCTCTCTCTCTCTCTCTCTCTCTCTCTCTCTCTCTCTCTCTCCTCTCTCTCTCTCTCCTCTCTCACCTCACTCCTCCTCTCTCCTCTCTCTCTCTCTCTCTCTCCTCTCTCTCTCTCCTCTCTCACTCTCCTCTCTCTCTCTCTCTCTCTGTCTCTCTCTCTGTCTCTGTCTCTCCTCACTCTCTCTCTCCTCTCTCTCTCTCACTCCTCACTCTCTCTCTCTCTCTCTCTCTCTCTCTCTCACTCTCTCTCTCTCTCTCTCTCCTCTCTCTCTCTCTCACTCTCTCTCTCTCTCACTCTCTCTCTCTCTCTCTCTCTCTCTCTCTCTCTCTCTCTCTCTCTCTCTCTCTCTCTCTTGGAGTAGTGGTTGGTTATCGTGCCTTCAAAAAAAGAATAGGCCAAAAAAGGGGATTATTTAACGTATTTAAGTGTACATAAGTCGATTAAGCTTGAACGTAGATGAAGGTAATTCGATAAATGGATGAACATATATATTGTTGTCATTGTCAGCATTAATTCACTCCACTCACTGCACATGTGTGGACACAAGGGTCAGTACCTGGTGAGCCACCCCTTCCAGCCGTCACTGCTCGACACCGTCTTGCAAGGGATTGCACAAGTCGTCGGATTTTTGCTTGGTGAATTCTTTGCCATTCTTTCTGCAACGGGTTGGCAAGTTCTGCAAGTGTCTGTGGACGATGGTGGCGTTTACTGACGCGTCGATCAAGTTCGTCCCATACATGCTCGATCGGGTCCAGATCAGGCGATCTAGAAGGCCAGGGAAGTACATTGACGTTTGCATTGACGAAATAGGGCCTCGCTACACGAACGGTGTGGTGTCGAGGGTTGTTGTGTTGAAACAGCTCCCTCTGGTGGTTAAAATTTGTGAAGGGGTGAGGTCGCAGGATTTGGTCAGTGTAGCGATTGGCTGTAAGATCGCTTTGAACCACCACCAGCTCAGATGTACCCGTGTAAGACATGGCTCCCCACACCAAATCCGTCTATCTGTCGAACGCCGTTCGGTGCAAAATGTTCATGTTGACGTCGATAGATACGTTGTCTCCCATCCCGTCGTTGCAGAAGGAAACGCGATTCATCGCTGAACCGAACGCGTTCCATGCGTTCCCCAGATTCTATGCCTGTACCCTGTTGCACCATTGGACACGTCGTTGTCGGTGTAGTCGTGTCAGGACAGGTCCAAGTTTTGGTCGATATGATCGAATTCCCACTTCTCTCAGACGATTTCTGATGGTTTGGTCAGAATTTCTTCGAAGTACAGGCACCTGTCCTACAGTGTCCGTTGCTGTAGCAAATCGGTGACGTAGGTGAAACACCCGGATGAATCGGTCCAGAGCAGGAGTGGTCACTCTGGGTCTTCCACTTTTGGGACAATATTAGGTCGAACTGAAGCAGGTATATTGATGTCATAATCGAGATATGGTGCTATGGTGGACGTTGAAGTATTTTGCAACGGCAGACTGGGACTTCCAAACGTCCAATGTCGATATTTCGGTCAGTAGCATTCAGTCTTAGCATATTTTACGTCGTAAATTTCACAATTTAATTATGACTTTGATTTGGCTCTACTGATGTGTCCGACACAGTGCACGTGCATTACGTGGAAAACATTTTCTGCATGCACTTTTTATGTATCGTTTTCATGTTTTATGATATTATTTACAAGCACATTTTGGGATGCGTTTGCGCGCAATACACAACAACCTCGACATGATTTACGAGATTTAAACATTGTAATTGTTAAATGATGATTGCTGTCAAAATATATCGAAATGAACTGCTGAAAACTGTTTCTTTATCCTTTTTTAAGAGTTTATTTGTATTTTACTACGAAAGCGTAATGTACTATATAACATATGTTACATTTGACCACTTTAAAAATTATGTGATGACATAGACGTTATGACTTTAAAACTCATTAATGTAATTACGCTACGACAAACCACTTGTCGACCTTTGTAACTTAATTCCGTTATCATGATTATTTAGGTCAAAACGATATTCCCACTTCACACTGTCCTCCTTTTGACACAGCCGGCCATCTGCAGTAGTTGTAAGTGCTAGCTGTTACATTTCTGGCGCCATGACAATGCTGGAATATTGCTCGCTCGCATGCCATCGTATCCCTACTACATAGGTGATAGTGTCAGTCACTGGATTGTCTGGTTCAAACTCGATTATTTACAGAATGAAATGTGCTGAATGTGGTATTAAGAATAAACAACACACAGAAAATTCGGGAAGATAAATCAGGGAATTGGCCATTAGACTTTCAATGAAATACATTGGATAGTCAAAATACCCGAAACTTAAAACCACATCAGCAAGACGGGGGACACCATTGGTGCTGATGTGTATGCGTCCTTCTTGTCAAAATACGCAGCCCTGAGTTTCACATAGGTCCTTTCAATGAAGGCCAGCATTTTACACATTGTTTTCACTCAGATTTCATATCTTCACATATATTTTTTAGTGACCAATATTTGATATGTGCTAAACAAATTGTTTCAGATACTTCAAATGTACGTTGTACTATAGTCAAAGTGACTCCTTCAATATGACTGCATTCCTCATCCCACTCGTGAAGATCCGGGTCAGAATTGGTCTTCAGTCACTTATGCTTGTCGTAAGAGGCGAATAACGGGATCGGGTGGTCAGGCTCCCTGACTTGGTTGACACGTGTCATCGCATCCCAGTTATGCAGATCGATGCTCATGATGTTGATCACTGGATTGTTTGGTCCATACTCGACTATTTACAGACCACTGCCATATAGCTGGAATATTGTTGAGTGCGGCGCACAACAACGAACATATGATGTACTATCTCGGGTTCAAATCTCATGTTTGTCCTGGTTTTGGTCCCCGCTTTTTCTGCACCGTACCAAATCTTATTTGTTGCACTGGTTGCCCGAGAACTTTGATCAGGAATATCCTACAGTAAGTTGATGCGTCGTAATATACTGAACATCAGGGGTCAAATCAAAAAGTCAACCGCCATTTGCATTGACACATGCAGTTCAACGTCTCCTCATTGAGTCAATAAGCGTCCGAATAGAGTTCTTGAGGATGGTATTCCACTTCTGCAGTAGTGCAGCCTCAACTTCCCGGATGTTTCGCATCTGTTGTCGCTGCGAAAGACTTTGACCAATTTCGTCCCACAAGTGCTCCATGGGGGATACATCTGGCGACTGTGCTGGCCAATGAATAACCTGGATTTGTTGCTGGGCCAGATACTGCATGGAAAGTCTTGTTGTGTGTGCCCGTGCGTTTTCCTGTTGAAAAGTATGGACATTTTGGTGGTGATTGAAGACAGATACGATGTGATTCTGAAGAATCTGCTCACGGTAATAAAGGGCATTAACTCTCCCTTGACAAACATGAAGGCAGTCCTGTGATTGTAATTTATTCCACCCCACGCCTAACGATGGTGGAGGGGCCAAGTCCAAGTTGTCGAGCAATATCCCTGATGCTGGTGCCAACCTGAATCATGCCTAGTGCACGTTCTCTTCGTGAGGTGTTAACCTCGGCATCTCTGTCCTCGTTTCACAATCGTTAGTGAAGCAATGAGAATCGTTTCTCATACACCCGCTTTTAATGTCACAGTCAGTATGATTTCAGAATGAAATTCGCGCTCTTTTCGTGGCTAGGCTGCATGTTGATGCATTTTGGAATTAAGAGTCATACTGTGGACAGGAATTTGTTTCTAAAGCATTTTTTTCAACTGGACATGCCCTTCGACTTCATGTTAGTTCTATTCATTTATCATTGTCATGCTGAAATCCATCTTGATGAAAATATGGACAATTTTAGACTGGTGCGTTTTCAATGATGTTCAGTATATAACTAAAAGCTGTTCAAATGGGCGTGTACCAACTCTTTACACCAGAAAACACGATACGGTAAAATACTGTTACTACGAACCCAGAGGAACAAGTATCTTGAATTCGTAATGATGCATAGAGCTACTAGTATATGGATATCAACTTGACAGCTTCATAACGGTGTAAGCTTAGGAGTCTACAGCGAAATTTGTTATCCATAAAGTTGTTTGCTTCATTAATAACCATTGCAATATTTCGACTTAAATATACAGCAAGTGGCCATAGGCTGGTCTAGAGCTATAACAAATAAAGCCGTTTTCATTTGACATACGGGTACATAAGTCCGAAAACATTCAAAGTCAATTTAAATCTATCCAACCTTTTTAATGGTAGAATATGTGTCTTTTTAATGTATGGCTAAATGTGTCTAAACTTCTAACGGCTGAAGGGATGGTGTAAATGCAGCTAGGGTCCATGCAGGAAGCGAATGTGCCCCCATGGTTCCTAGTATGGTGATCTACCTTCAGTTGTTGGCAATCTATAGCCCGTTTTTACATTGTCTTGTCATTTCTATAGTCCGTTTGGCTCAAAAGCGGACCGATGAATTGCAATCTAACTCGAAAACTAATAAACATAAAATACTCAATGAAACGCTGATCATAATCAAAACATCATACCCACTCTGTGAGGTTTTGGCATAATTTTTGTCCTAAAACTAAAAAAGTTGTTTAACAATCTATCATTAAAATATTGACACAGTTCACTATTTGTTACGAGGAGGAGTGCAGAGAAAGGGACAGCCAGGGATTAGAGAAGCACGTGCACAAGTGCCGACAAAGTTATTGATTCAGTAACCTGTGCTGTGCCGTCTCCATCCTTTCTCGCACACCTAGCTGTCCCTTTCTCTGCACTCCTCCCTCGTAACAAATAGTGAACTGTGTCAATATTTTAATGATAGATTGTTAAACAACTTTTTTAGTTTTAGGACAAAAATTATGCCAAAACCTCACAGAGTGGGTATGATGTTTTGATTATGAGTATTTTATGTTTATTAGTTTTCGAGTTAGATTGCAATTCATCGGTCCGCTTTTGAGCCAAACGGACTGTAGTTAAAATGTTTCAGATTTAATTACTAATTTTAAATGGATATCTGTGATATACTAGTAGTTTTACTGTTCTTCGTCAACAGGCTTTTAATTTCTAATTTCATTGATCTATAATACAATTATTAATTGTTTTCGTCACGATATGGCTGAAGCATTGCGGATGTAACGATAAATATTAACTCACTCACTCACTCACTCACTCATTTGACATACCACAGTGTTCGTATAGCTGATTCATAAAAATAGTAATGTTGCTTTTACCTGTTCTTCAGGCGTGACAACATGGCAAGGAAATGACTCGAGTTGTTTATATACTTCAGTGTTTATTTGGCACATAAGATGATTGGTACAATAAATAGACATAAATATCGATGAGAGTGGCGTCAGTTCGATCCTCAATAGAAGCCATAGCCTGAAAGACAAAATACAAATCATGAATTCACCATGAACATAGGGCGACATGGACGACGATGGAAGCATGACACTTATACTTATCATACATAAAGTATCAAACAACTTTTCCATGTTGTTTTTTCTGTTCGATGTTTTTAAAAAACTTCCTTTTAGAAGTATGTTTTCTGGGGTTTTAACATGTCGATTGTTTGAGCACACAACAATTGATTTTTCAAAAATAAATAGAATTCTAATCGATATTTGCTTTCATATAAATATTTTATTTAAAATCTACGAGTGGGAATAGGCGTGCAATATAATGAAACCTACCTGTAAATATTAGCAGAAATATAAACATTACCTGTACATATTAGCAGAATGCAAGAAAAATTATCAAGTTTTTTTCGGCTTAATAAATGATCGGCTTGGATAAATACATAAAAACACTGAGTTTCTCGACGTACCTTTCCCAAGTCCAAGGCCGGTTCCAAATCCTCCGTAGTGGCCTCCCATGCCGTACAGACCGCCGATGTTGCCAAGTCCTCCGTACAGACCGCCAAAGTTGCCAAGTCCTCCGTACATTCCTCCCATCATTCCGTACTTCCCGCCATAGATACCTCCGTATTGTCCCAGGCCCCCGTACAGTCCTCCCAGCATTCCGTTACCGTACGCACCCCCGTACGGATAGCCGATGGCGCCTTTGCCGTACATGCCGTAGCTCACAGGCTCGGCGAGGGCGGCGACAGCCAGACAGAGAACAAGGGCGATAACCTTCATCATTTTTTATTATCTGTTAATGAAAATATGAAAAAAAGAGTCACGTGTAATTCTCCATTCATAGCTATCATCATATGATCTGTTAATGAAAATAAGAAATACAGGGTCACTTACGGAAACATTCATCAAGTAAATACGAATTTTATATTGAATTTGCGTCAAAAACAATCATTACATTGATATAAATGTGTCCAACAAAATACAAGTTTTTGCCAACTACTGTTCCAACACATTCAAGCAATAACGGTGGAAATGAAATAATATCATATAGTTTAGCAGTCTGCCACCGCAAAATCGTGCGTCAAAGATTTGAACAAGCCCATCCTGACACAGTTAAGGTAAGTTACTAAAAACGACAAAAACGTTTGCATAAAGAATCTCAAAATATCATGTTTTTGTGAATTGTTAATGTAATACTGAATGATTGTTACATTCTAAAATGTGGGATCTAAACACACGACCAGAGGATCCTCGCCGTGATGTAATACTGAATGGTGGTTACATTCTACAATGTGGGGTCTGAACCCACGACCAGAGGATCCTTACAGTCATGTAATACTGAATGGTAGTTACATTCTACAATGTGTGATCTGAACCCACGACCAAAGGATCCTCACAGTAATGTAATACTGAATGATCGTTACATTCTACAATGTGGGATCTGAACCCACGACCAGAGGATCCTCACAGTAATGTAATACTGAATGGTCGTTACTTTCTACAATGTGTGATCTGAACCCACGACCAAAGGATCCTCACAGTAATGTAATACTGAATGGAAGTTACATTCTACAATGTGTGATCTGAACCCACGACCAAAGGATCCTCACAGTAATGTAATACTGAATGGTAGTTACATTCTACAATGTGTGATCTGAACCCACGACCGAAGGATCCTCATTCTACTGTAATACTGAATGGTAGTTACATTCTACAATGTGTGATCTGAACCCACGACCAGAGGATCCTCACAGTAATGTAATACTGAATGGTAGTTACATTCTACAATGTGTGATCTGAACCCACGACCAGAGGATCCTCATTGTACTGTAATACTGAATGATCGTTACATTCTACAATGTGTGATGTGAACCCACGACCAGAGAATCCTCACAGTAATGTAATACTGAATGATCGTTACATTCTACAATGTGTGATCTGAACCCACGACCAGAGGATCCTCATTGTACTGTAATACTGAATGATTGTTACATTCTACAATGTGTGATCTGAATCCACGACCAAAGGATCCTCACAGTAATGTAATACTGAATGATTGTTACATTCTACAATGTGTGATCTGAACCCACGACCAGAGGATCCTCACAGTAATGTAATACTGAATGGTCGTTACATTCTACAATGTGTGATCTGAACCCACGACCAGAGGATCCTCATTGTACTGTAATACTGAATGATCGTTACATTCTACAATGTGCGATCTGAACCCACGACCAGAGGATCCTCACAGTAATGTAATACTGAAAGATTGTTACATTCTACAATGTGTGATCTGAACCCACGACCAGAGGATCCTCATTGTACTGTAATACTGAATGATCGTTACTATCTACAATGTGTGATCTGAATCCACGACCAGAGGATCCTCACAGTAATGTTATACTGAGAGCTAGTTACATTCTACAATGTGGGATCTGAACCCACGACCAGAGGATCCTCACAGTAATGTTATACTGAATGGTCGTTACATTCTACAATGTGGGATCTGAACCCACGACCAAAGGATCCTCACAGTAATGTAATACTGAATTATCGTAACATTCTACAATGTGGGATCTGAACCCACGACCAGAGGATCCTCATTGGACTGTAATACTGAATGGTCGTTACATTCCACAATGTGGGATCTGAACCCACGACCAGAGAATCCTCATTGTACTGTAATACTGAATGGTAGTTACATTCTACAATGTGGGATCTGAACCCACGACCAGAGAATCCTCACAGTCATGTAATACTGAATGATCGTTACATTCTACAATGTGGGATCTGAACCCACAACCAGAGGATCCTCATTGTACTGTAATACTGAACAATCGTTACATTCTACAATGTGTGATCTGAACCCACGACCAAAGGATCCTCACAGTAATGTAATACTGAATGGTAGTTACATTCTACAATGTGGGATCTGAACCCACGACCAGAGGATCCTCATTGTACTGTAATACTGAATGATCGTTACATTCTACAATGTGTGATCTGAACCCACGACCAGAGGATCCTCACAGTAATGTAATACTGAATGGTAGTTACATTCTACAATGTGTGATCTGAACCCACGACCAAAGGATCCTCACAGTAATGTAATACTGAATGATCATTACATTCTACAATGTGTGATCTGAACCCACGACCAGAGAATCCTCATTGTACTGTAATACTGAATGATCGTTACATTCTACAATGTGTGATCTGAACCCACGACCAGAGAATCCTCACGGTAATGTAATACTGAATGATTGTTACATTCTACAATGTGTGATCTGAACCCACGACCAGAGGATCCTCATTGTACTGTAATACTGAATGGTAGTTACATTCTACAATGTGTGATCTGAACCCACGACCAGAGAATCCTCACAGTAATGTAATACTGAATGGTAGTTACATTCTACAATGTGGGATCTGAACCCACGACCAGAGGATCCTCACAGTCATGTAATACTGAATGGTAGTTACATTCTACAATGTGTGATCTGAACCCACGACCAGAGGATCCTCACAGTAATGTAATACTGAATGGTAGTTACATTCTACAATGTGGGATCTGAACCCACGACCAGAGGATCCTCACAGTCATGTAATACTGAATGATCGTTACATTCTACAATGTGTGATCTGAACCCACGACCAAAGGATCCTCACAGTAATGTAATACTGAATGGAAGTTACATTCTACAATGTGGGATCTGAACCCACGACCAAAGGATCCTCACAGTACTGTAATACTGAATGATCATTACATTCTACAATGTGAGATCTGAACCCACGACCAGAGGATCCTCATAGTAATGTAATGCTGAATTGTAGTTTTACAATGTGTGATCTGAACCCACGACCAGAGGATCCTCACAGTCGGGGAGGTGTGGTAGCCTAGTGGTTAAAGCGTTCGCTCGTCACACCGAAGACCCAGGTTCCATTCCCCACATGGATACCTGTAACCCTTGGGGCCCATTTCTGGTGTCCCTCGCCGTGATATTGCTGCAATATTGCTAAACTAAACTCACAGCTCGTCCTAGAAAAGTAATACTGAATTGTAGTTGCATTCTACAATGTGGGACTGAACCCACGAACAGAGGATCCTTACAGAAGGCGCGGTATGATAGCCTAGTAGTTAAAGCGTTCGCTCGTCACACCGAATACCCGGGTTCGATTCCCCACATGGGTTCCTGTAACCCGTGAGGCCCCATTTCTGGTGTCCCCCGCCGTGATATTGCTAAACTAAACTCACACCACCTCCTAGTAAAGTAATACTGAATTGTCGTTACATAAAACTACAATGTGAAATCTGAAACCACCACCACAACAACTGCGTAACCACTAGAAACATTGAGGACTCTTCAACGTCCACCCATGGGTCATCCTGGCGTCTTACCTGTGATGTACTGATCTTCAGAGACAGGAGATGATATGTACATTGATGTGGCAGTATTTATATCCGTGAACGTCCGCCTTCCCTCCGGCCCTGGAGCTAATTAATGATGTCATTTTATCGACCAATCATATCACTTCCTTGTGGGTTTGAACACTCCTCATTTTTTACTTCTTGTGGGATAATGAAATAGCAGGGATGAAACGATAAATTTATGTTGATTAATTGTGACGATTTTCAAAGCCATACAAGTTTAATTTCCATACTTTTTTATAATGGAACAATGATGTAAGGATGAAACGGTAAATTCATGTTGCTATATCGTTGTAATTTTCAGAACCGTTACTTTTTAGTTTCACACTTTTTACAATGGAACAATGATGTAAGGATTAAACGGTAAATTCATGTGAACAAAACCATTTAAGTTTCCCACTTTTTATAAAGTAACATTATCTAATTTAATAAAATCAGAGTATGCTTGATATGAAAAGAACCCTAAAAACTATGCCAAGGAATTAAATGGTAATTAGGTACCGGATATTGATATTTGAGATATGGATATTACTCCAGTGGGACGGGTATTGGACTGGAATTAAAGACACTTGTGTCAGACGTTTTGCATTTTATTATGAAACAATTATAAGATCTCTTAGACGTCGTCATTTCAGCCAAGGAATAATTTCACAATGCAAATAGACTAATTGAGTGAGTGAGTTTGCTTTAACGAGGGACGAGTGAGTGAGTTTAACTTTACGCCGCTTTTAGCAATATTTCAGCATTGTCACTTCGGGGGACACCAGAAATGGGCTTCACACAGCGTACCCATATGTCGGGAATCGAACCCGGGTCTTCGGTGTGACGAGCCAACGCTTTAATCACTAGGCTACCCTACCGCCCTGGTGAAAACTAAACTCACTCACTCAAACTGAATTGACGTCACTCTTTGAAAAGTATGTTTGCAACTTTACACATTCTATCAGTATTCAAACATTAATCACTGATAAAAGCGAAACCGTGACTTTCAGAACAAGGCAGCTCGCATTGTTACAAGGACCAAACCTCGTGAGCATATCACGCCTGTTCTAAAACAATTGCATTGGCTCCCAGTTCGGCTTAGGGTGGTGTACAAAGTCTTGTCACTGACCTACGCTGCCCTGCACAATGATAACTCCCCTCTCTACCTAAAGGACCTGATCCAGATGTATACACCAGGACGATATCTCCGATCTCAGAGTATGTACAATCTCTCGGTTCCCTCAACATCCACTAAACTTGCTGATCGTGCCTTCTCCAGAGTTGCCCCTACCTTGTGGAACAATCTACCATTTGAACTAAAGACAGCAAGTTCTCACACATCCTTCCAAAACTGTCTAAAAGCAGCTCAAAG